ACCAGCAAAGAAAAAGCTACCTTCTCTAGCTTTTGATACCTTACCTCTGGACCTTGTAAGGCTCTACTGACAAAGTAAATTGGCTCCTGGCCTTCGTTAGTTTCCTTGATCAGTACAACGCTTATTGCTTCCTCCCCTACTGCCAAATACAGAATTATAACATCTCCTGGGTTTGGCTTTGAGAGGATCGGTGGAGTTGATAAACATTTCTTTATCTTCTCAAACGCGACTTCACATGCCGGGTTCCATCTGTCAGTTGCTTCTTTCTTTAAAAGTTTAAAGAATGGGAGGGCATTTTCAGCCGATTTTGGAAGAAACCGGGTTAGCTCAGCTAATCGTCCGGTAAGCTGTTGGACCTCCTTTTTGCTTTGGGGTGCTTTCATGTCAAGCACAGCCTTGCATTTATCTGGGTTCACCTCAATTCCTCTGTGGGTTAGCATGAAACCCAGAAATTTTCCAGTTGCTACCCCGAACGCGCACTTTACCGGGTTGAGGCGGATGCGATACTTCCTGAGCTTCTGAAACGTTTGCTCAAGATCTTGAACATGATTCATCATATCAAATGACTTCACAATCATATCATCCATGTATACTTCTACATTTTTGCCTAGCTGATCTTCGAAGACCTTATTCATCATCCTCTGGTAAGTTGCCCCTGAGTTTTTAAGTCCAAATGGCATCACATTGTAGCAATAGTTGGCCTTTTCAGCAATAAAGGCCATTTTTTCTTGATTCGCCGGGTACATTGAGATCTGGTTGTATCCCGAATAGGCATCCATGAAAGACAACAGACGAAATCCAGCCAAGTTATCTACCAGCTGATCTATGTTAGGCATAGGATAAGCATCCTTTGGGCAAACTTTGTTTAAATTTGTGTAATCAGTACAGATTCTCCATTTCCCATTTGGTTTTTTCACCATCACCATATTGGCAAGCCATGTCGTGTACAGTATCTCCCGAATGAACCCGGCATCCAAGAGTTCTTTAACGTGTTCTTGTAGGACTTGTTTCCTTTCTGGTCCCAGTTTTCTTTTCTTCTGGGAAACTGGCGTGGACCCCGGATAAGCTTCCAATTTGTGACAACAAAATGCGGGGTCGATGCCAGGGATCTCTGACGACTTCCATGCAAATATATCCGTGTTGCTTTTAAGAAAGTCAGCCAAAATTTGCTTAATCTAGGGGTCTATGATCTTACCAATGCGGGTAAACTGGCCGGGATCTTTCCCGAGTGCCAGGTTCTCTAATTCCCAATCGGGTTCTGGTCTCGGCACTACTTCTTCTCTCATGTCAAGTTCGACCACATTGACGAGTTTCCTGGAGTGGTGCTGGATTGCATTCTTTCCCTGTTTGTCCCCTGCATGAATTCAGAGCAGACTTGTACGTCCATCCTCATTATCTTTGAGAGTGTCAAAATAACATCCCCTGGACTCTTTTTGATCTCCGCAAATAGTAATTATTTCGCCTTTACTGCTTAGCATCTTTATTTTTTGGTGTTTCGTGGAAACCAGCATGTCCCACTGGTGTATAGTTGGCCTGCCCAGAATTATATTATACTCTGATGGAAAATCAGCCACTATAAACCTTACCCGTTCCGACTTGACCGCGTCTTTGGTTCCCAGGGTCAACCTGAGATCTATATAGCCTTTGGGAGGTGTATGCTCTCCATTAAAGGCTACCAGCGTCGTTTTGCAAGGTTTGAGGTCCTCTTCATCCAGGTTCATCTTTTTAAAAGTGTCCCAGAGTACGATGTCGGCACAACTCCCTGCATCAACAAAAATCTTCTTAACCCGACAGTTTATCAAATTTCTGGCTATAACGAGTCCGTCAACATGTCCAGGCAACACGCCATGCATGTCCTTCTTTGTAAAATACAGTAGAGGGGGATCCGACTTGCTCGAATCCTCTTTGAATCTAGGACGGTCTCGAATCGAAAGGACCTCCTTCAAGTATTTCCTTCTTGCGCTTATGGTGTCTCCACCTCCTCCAAGGGCTCCATTGATTACATTACAATCGAATTCCGCTTCTGGGAACTCATCAAAATTGGGATCATCTTTGCGATCTTGCTCATCTTTGTTCTTCTTTCCAGGAACTGGGCTTTTACTTCTCCTTCTATTTCCTGGCTTCCTTTTGGACCCTTGGGTTTTAATCACGTATTATCGTAATCTACCATCTCTTACAAACTTCTCCACCGCATCCCGGAGATCCCAGCACTGATCAGTTGTGTGACCTGGCCCATCATGAAAGGCACAATATTTGGACTTATCTAAGCCTCCTCTGTTAAATATGGGCCGGGGTCTCTCCACCTTCTTCATCTCCGTCATGGCTACTTCTCTCCAAATTTTAGAACGTGACGCATTCAAAGAAGTATACTTGTCATACCTCCCAACGCGGTCCCTCATGTCCGGGATTCGTGGGCGTTGATCTTTCTTCTTATTGTCGATTCGTTCCTTTCCCTTTGGGGCCGGGCTCCTCCTTCTCGGGCTGCCCTTTTTGCCCTCATCAGACTGCGCATTTGCGCTCTCCATTTGCTCTAGTTCGAGATATTTTTTCGAACGAGTTCTGAATTCCTCCAACGTCCTCACTGGGTCTTTATAGACCGACTTGGCTAGTCTTGCTGCACCATCCAAACCCGCCACAATGAGGTGAACATGGACATTCTCCTGCAGCCCTGGGACCTGCAATGCAGCATCCTTGAACCGATTAAGATATTTCTGGAGGGTTTCTCTGGGTTGCTGTCATATCTTTTCGAGAGCGAACTCGGACTTTGGATGCTTTTTGCTAGTTGCAAAGTTCAAGAGGAACTTCTGTCCGAATTCTTTAAACGACCCGATGGAATTAGCAGGAAGGGTTGAAAACCATGCCTGCGCTGCTCCAGTCAGTGTTATGGAAAATATCCGGGATATGAGAGGTTCGTCAATTCCTCATATGTACATATCCGTGTCGAAAGCATCTATATGGACCTGCGGATCCTGGCTCCCATCGTACTTTGGCAGACGTGCCGAGTCAAAATCCTCCGGGAAGACAGCGTTTAGTATTTCACCAGTAAAGGGGCTATTGTTGTACTGCCCCCTGCTGTACTTCCTCCTATACCCGCCGGGTTCTACCCGACCTCGGATATCTTGAGCGTTTTGTGCATGAAGGATTCTAACTCGGTCCTCTTGACCATCAACTTGAGCCTGATGGTTTTGAGCAATTTGGCCATTAACAGCCTGACGATTCGGATTTGCAGCGTTCACAAGATTGGGCCTGTTATGATCTTCTGTATTGGGAACTCGGTTTGGGAGAACCATATTCCGAGCTCCTTCACGGCCATTAACAAGTTGGCCGTCAGCTTCAGTTGCTCTTGGTCCAGTCAAGTGCGTTAAACGCTGCTCCAGATCTCACATTCCTCTGTTATTCTCCTCCCGTATAGCCCTGAAATCCTACTGCTGTTGCAAGTTATTACGGTTCTCCATCTTCGTTATTCGTTCCATGATTGCAGCGAACGCGTTGTTGGCCAACCGAGTATTCGGATCAGCCGATTGAGCGATACGCGCAGCCAGATCTCCAGGATGCTGGGAAGGATTGGTTCTTGTTGGAGCTACGTTCGCCCCAGCCCCCCTATCTCGACGCGCTGGAGTTGAAGGGGTATCTGAGACATCGTCTTCGACCTGGACGTGGTCGTAATCCACGTTATTTCCAATCTGGTTCGGAGGCTGGTTTACCTCTTCCAGGATTGGACCCAATGGTTGATTCCGGTTCGAGGGTGGCTGCTGGCTACTGCTCCTCGTCTGAATTGCCATTCCTTCTCATATTTGGTGGGAACTTCAAATTCAAAGAAGAAAGTCCCCACAGACGGCGCCAATGTTCTGTCCTTGAGACAAAGATGTCTAGCCCAATAGGCTAGTATGTTATTCTTGGATCTGGTGCCCTCTCCAAGGTATCTATGGAAGAGATACCCTTGAGTCAAGCAGATCACTGTGCACAGAATACTATAACGGCGTTAGCCAATGGAGTGTGTGCGCGCGCACAGTGACAACATAATAGTAAGAGAGAGAGAGAGAGCGTACGTACCTTTAGGGTTTACCTTTGTATTTATAGAGGTTACCTGTAGGTAGTGTGGATGGGCCTTTGGTTCCTACGGTGAGGGTCCAGGCCTGATAGCTATGTTGTCGCATTAGGATTAGTATCATTGATGGATATCTATCATTTATTAGCATCAATCCATATCTTGGATTGCCCCTTGTTGGGCTTGCTACTTAATGGGCCTATTATACGGGTCCATAACAACAGATATCCAAACCCAAACAAAAGAATCACTTAATCAAATGGGCTTTATACTGCACCCCTATATGGATCATGACTTATCCCGTTTTTATCAAAACAAAAAAACTAATTGAAGGCTACAATTATTATAAAAAAATTTAACATCTATCCTTACATACACTAAAATGGAGAATCTCCATATCCTCAACAAAATATAGATTTCGAATTTAACGTGAATCACGAAATTGAAATTGAAGCCATACAATACAATGTCATTTGACATCTGAGAAACAATTTGGGAATGCTCACTCCACAGCGTTGACAGCGATACACATTGAAACGATTTTGTCGGGTTACATAAGAATTGCAGAGACTGAAAGGATGAGATTTTATTGTGCAAAAATTGATGAAAACGACCCCTGAGTGAAGGCAAACTAAACAATTAAAGAATGAGTAGGTGAGTGTAGTTTTTTTTGAGAAAGGGTTTCAGAGAGTGAGTGAGAATGGTAGAAGGAAATAGATAGGAGTCAGTAAGCATTTAGGGACTGTTAGCAGAACCAACATAACTCAATTTTTCGTTGTGGTTCAATCAGCGGTCAGATGCAATTGATTATTACCGTTCCAGTTAATAAGATACAATTGTTTGGAATAGCTCATAGCTATGATATGAAATATATATGATTGTTGCTTTCCTCTTTGCTCATTACTCATATTATTGTCAGTTCTAGCAAAAACTAAACTCTACATTGTTATATATGGCTCTTTTTATGAAGCTCCATTCTTCTCTTCCGAATTCAATTTGTACCTCAATGCTTCTCCGTTTGATGCTATTTTTAATTGTTTCCTGCAAAACGGAGGCTATTTTGAAAATTCCACCAAATGTTTTGTTTCCAGCTGTGTTGGTGTTTGGAGATTCGATAGTGGATACTGGCAACAACAACGAAAACATACAAACAGCAGCTCGGTGCAATTTTCTACCGTATGGGGTAGACTTTGAGGGAGGGATCCCAACTGGCCGATTTAGCAATGGAAAAGTTCCATCGGATCTTGTAGGTATGCAATTGCGGATGATAAACATAAAACCCTTTTATATTTTGTTTCCATATAGTTTCATATTTTATTTCCATATAATCAAGTCATGTTATGAAAAAGATGGCAGTCATTTATTCATAGATAATCACTGAATGAATTATTATAATCTTTCATATGATATAATTTCATGAAAACAAGACATTATAGGATCCATTTCCGTACCACACTACTCTGTTTTCTCTTTGCCTTTGTCATATACGTATGGGAAGATTTTTGTATTTGCACTTACCTAGTTACCTAAAACGTAGAGTCTTATAACATAGAAAAATGTATATTATTATAACTATAGCCATCAAAGAATAAATAATTAGAAAAAAAATATTAACTTAAAAATGATTTTATGATTTTTGAGAAATTACACTGCATTTTCTGATGTTATTATTTATTATATCTGAAACTTCTCATCCATGTTTAAGAAATTATATCTTCATATGTTACTATATGTATTGTTTCTGTGTTTCTTAATTGTTTGAGAAATTTTATCTACCTCAATATGGGTGGATTCTATACCATTTTTTATTATAAACAACAAAGGGGAGATATGGGTAATATGATGTCAATGTAAATATGTGATACCCTATTAATAATCATATATTGTTTTAATAATAGTTAACATTTTAAATAAAATACTATTAGAAGAAATAATTCATAGTGCGTTTAAATATTCATATATTGTTTATCTCTTAATAGTAGTACGATAGACTTTAATGAATTTAGTACGTAATTAATAATACCAAAAACAAAATTGTCGGTTAGAATTTGAATATGTTGACGTGTAAAACAGTGATTCAGTAGATTTTTGGGCTTTTTATCCATATAAGTGTAAATTTATTGCTATTTTTTTGGATAATATTTACTAATCAAACGTAAAGAGACTTGGATGGATTATGCACGTAAGTCACGCACGAAATATGTGCATGAATTGTATACATTCAAGTCGCACGTGATTTCATCATGACTTTTGTAAAGTCAGTATCCATATTTACCATGTGTCGTGCTATGTAAGACATGCATTACTTTTATGGGCATTTGCTCATGTGCGTCTTGCATATGAACACATGGCAAACACATGCTTTTGCACAAGTCAGACATATAAGTAATGCATGACTGAAATGTGCATGGTTAAAATAATTTGTCAAAAGACATTAACTGATAAATAATTATAAAATTCGGATTAAAAAACCAGAAAGCCAAATTTTTGGGTTATCTATAAGTTAGTAAATGTCTTCTAATTAAATTGGCGTCACGTTATAAATAAATAAATAAATAAATAAATAAATAATAATAATAATAATAATATGAATTAATTTTAGAAATTTTAGTAAAGATTCATTTGATATTTGTGTACAGATATTTTTTAGATTTTTTTATTTGTGTATTGGTATAATTGACAATCTTTAAATTTCTTTTTCTTTTTTTTGTTAAACTTAAAATAAAGCCATTTCTTAGGCAGTCTTTCGAGTTTTTTTTTTTTAATTTTCTTATTGTGTCAGTTGAAGAATTGGGCATTAAAGAGTTTCTACCCGCATACTTGGATCCAAATCTCCAGCCAAGTGATTTGGCCACCGGTGTGTGCTTTGCATCCGGTGGTGCCGGATATGATCCTTTGACATCCCAGATAACGGTATGCATATTTTGAGCTCCAACTTTTTCTTCAATATATTTTTTTAATACAAAATGTTTAAGGTAAGGTATGTCTTATTTCAAGACCAAAGAAGATTAGTAACCTTAAGGAGAGTTAAAATTACATATTACTTAACAAAGAGGAAAAACTTAACTAATTATGTCAACCATCATTGAAAATATTTTAAAAAGAAAACAAGAAAAAATCAAGGGTAGTACTTTTATTATGTAACATATTATCTCCTAGACTTGCATTTTTCAAATGAGTCATCCCACAACTCTTTTTTTTCCAGCTCCAACTCTTTTCTCTCTCCTATTTATTACTTAAGTAGGAGATAATATTTTCTTGTATAACACAAGAAAAGTATTACCCAAAAATCAAATGGATTCATTTCGATATTGATAAACAATTATCTCATTTAAAAATTTAAATTGTTAAGTGAAGAATTTTTTTAATGATTTATATATTTCTTTAACATGTCCTTCGTACTATAATCTATTGAGTTTGAAGGGTAAATAATGTATCAAGCTCAAAATTATACTAAAAAATTTATAATATTTGATTATTTATTAATATAATAAAGATAGTGAAAATTGAACTTGTGAATCCATTTGATACCGTGCTGAAAAATCATCTAACCTAAAAACTTAAACGGTTGGGGCTTCGCCCCTTAATGTTATAAAAAAAAAAAAAAAAACTTAAACGGTTAAAGTTATTTTTAAACTCCTCCAACATATTTCACTGCATCACTATAGCTTTGTTACTTGTTTATAACCAGGCAGCTATACCACTATCCGGTCAAGTAGACATGTTCACAGAATACATAGGGAAGCTAAAAGAACTCGTAGGAGAGAACAGAACAAACTTCATCCTAGCCAACAGTTTTTTTGTTGTGGTATTAGGCAGCAATGACATTTCCAATGCATATTTTTTGCTTCGAATTAGGCAACTGCAATATGATGTTCATGCTTACACCGATTTTTTGGTCACTTCAGCTTCTAATTTTCTCAAGGTACGCTTTATGTTTCATCTCTGGTAGGCAGTATAATCTCATTTAAAGATGGCCGGGCAATACGCTCTGCCGCACAAAAAATGAGATGGGACGAACTAGCCCGTCATTGACAAATGAGTTAAAAATATTAACCCATTTCATTTTGAGGTGAGTTTGCCGGTCAATTCGTTTAAAAATAATATATTAAAAAAATATATAAATATAAATATATTAATCTTTTATTTCTAATCTCTAATATCTAAATATTTCTCAAGTACAAAAAAAAAGTATGAACCAATAAGTTAAGAAAAAAATAATTTAAACCAATAATTTCATTTAACATAATTATACAAATACTATATATCTTAAGATTAATTAATAATTTCAGTGCGATTATATAACCAAATAATGACATCAAACATATAAATATTTGCAAATGAACACATCATTACATCTTGTAACTAGAATTTCATAATCATCAATTTGATTTGTATAGATACTAGCATTTAAATTCAAAAATAAACTTAAGTTTCCTTTATCTTTTGTGTTAATCTAAATCAAAAGTGAATAAAAAATAAAATTTGCAATAATATAATAACATTATGACCCTAAAAAGAAATTTTTTTGTCTAACATAATAGCCATTCATATAATCCAATCAAGTCATAATCTATATATATATATATATATATATATATATATATATATATATATATATATATATATATATATTAAAAATTACATGCAGGTTGACCTATCTTGCCCTAGCTATACTTTTAACCTGCCCTGTATAAAGGTGGGTTATTTGGGTTGGTGGGCTCAAATGCACAATCCAACCCAATCCGTTTTGGCAGGTTGATCCATTAAGTTTAATTTTTTTTAATAGATCTAATATTTATCATATTATATAAGATAAAATAATATATTATACATATATAAAAATGTGTGAAATTCATGTGGATATATATGAACAGAAAAAAAATAAAAAAATAACCCAAAAAAACTATTATGTCTGTAGAGATAATTTTATTTTCAATATGATAAGAAATATTAAATATTTTATTTAATATGAACAAGAAATATTTAATAGACAAACTGTTTTCTATAGTGCTAATGTTTATTTAATTACCTTACAACATTTTGTTTTTCCTTTCAATACAATTAAAGGAAATATACCAACTAGGTGCACGGAGGATTGGAGTATTCAGTGTGCCACCGATTGGGTGTGTTCCGTTTCAGAGAACAGTGGCCGGAGGAATAGCAAGAGAATGTGTAAAAGAATACAACGAAGCAGTGGAGTTATTTAACAGCAAATTGTCCATGGAGGCGGATTCCCTTAATCAGAATCTTCCAAATAGCAGGATTGTTTATATGGATATTTACTACCCTCTTCTTGATATCATTGCCAACAATCAAAAATATGGTAATTCCATATTTCACTTTTTTTGTTTGGTAGGTTATTTCACTTTTTTTTAGGTGAAAGTATTCCATATTTCACTTTGTGTGCTAATCGAAATTACCATTTGTTAATAAAACAGTTATGACATAGATGCTAGGTAATACTTCAGAAAAAACTACAATTGTTAATACTTTCCATTGGTTCCGTGTATGTCAAAAATATTTTATCCCTTTGTCACTTATAACTTTATGGGCTATATGTATAACATGTTACATAACAAAAACAATGTTTACTACACACAATGTGTTAGTGGGGTCTATTAATTTATTTTTCTCATTCTTCAATTTATTTTCTCTCTCCTCATTACTTGCTCTGCTGGAAACCATGCACTTTTTCCTACAACATTATTGTTGTATTTCTCTAACTTTAACCGTAACAATTCTCAACAAATTCACACTTATAATTTTTGCAAAATGTTTCGTCGTCCAATTGCAGGCTATGAAGTCGGAGACAGAGGGTGCTGTGGCACAGGCAAATTAGAGGTCTCGTTCTTATGCAACTATTTGGAATCCACGTGTCCGAACGTTATGGATTATGTGTTTTGGGACAGTTTTCACCCTACCGAAGCACTTTACAGAAAGCTTGTTCCGCCGGTTCTACAAAAATATATGTACAAGTTCCAGTGAGCAAGTTTTTTTTTTTTTTTTTCTCTTCCAAAAATAACCTCTACCTAGTTTCTGACGCAACTACAGTGCTGATTAATTGTCTGCCACTTCGCAAGCAGGTCCAAATAATTGTTTATGTAATAAAAAGTAAAAATTTCTTATTCAATGCGATTTTAAGTTTTAAATGTTAAACAAATACCTTGTAAATTCAGCATAATCAATAAATTAAATTAATAGTTTCATCATGGACTTAAAAGGATAATAAAATAGCTGATATTGTATCTGTTCGAAATAATTTTATTTATGTAAAATAGCTTTTGAACTTTGGGATTTATTTCCTTTTTGTTCTACCAAAATTCGAGGGAGTCTGGTTTATAGGGTTTATATAATTGCATGGAACTCTTATATAATGCATTGTATGTATTAATTGCCATGTGTTCCACACAAGACAGATTATCCTTGGGTAAGGCATGTGGTGTGCTGCGTATAACGCGCTTTGTGGTTTACTACAAAATACATGTCCGTGGTGTGTTGCAAAAGATGGATTTTCTTTATGCTTGGTATGTTGTAAGATGGATTTTCCTTGCGTAATGCATACAGTTATGTTCCCTGGCCAGTAGAATTACTTATTATGGACTTTCAAATAGTGTGTTGACCAAAGGAATGACCAGACGAGATTGCTATCTCACCCCGTGTAGGGATTGTATTGCTACTTATATGTATTGCATGGATATGTATGCTGTATTATACTTGTTTTACTACTTTTATGCCTGAAGTGAACTTTGGGATAGAGAAATCCTCCAAGGGTCCCTAGTTTACTAAGATGTTATCTCACCTCGTGTGGGGATTATATTTCAGGTACTGACACTTTTGGTGCAAGAGTTGCACGTGGCAAGAGGCCAGAGTAGTTTACCATGTTATAGCATGGGTATTTTGATGATCATTTGTTGTATGTTACGTGATCGTATATTTTAGAGCATAGGATGTTAGCTATGCATCTTCAGCGAGCAGATAAAATAAAAGATAGTAGTCACTCTCTGGACAAGGCTATGCTCGCAGACATGCTCGCTTACACGAGCAATTTCTTGGTGGGCAAGAAATCCCTGCTAATTGAGGTTTAAAATTAATAAATTGCTCGCGGGCTTGCTTGCACAAGTGAGCAGCCTAGCGAGGAAACAGAGCATTGGGCAGTAGCTACTATCTCGGATTCAAATTGTTCACAGCAATGCTCGCTTCAACGAGCAGTGCAGCAAGAAAACACGATTGCTCGCTGATGATGCTCGTTTAAGCGAGGGACTTAGCGAGCAATAGGAAATGAAGAAAAACAAGAATGAAGCAATGTGTTTTATGGAACTCCATGGTGGTATCTTGTATGTGTTGTATGATATGTTTAAGCTAAGTTTAGATTTTCACACTATGTATGAGTTATAATTATAGTTTTGAATTGTTTTTAAATACGAAAATAATTTTAAGCATAAAAGGTTTATTAACAAAAATGAAAATGTTTAGCCGTATTTTAGTTCAACTGTTGTAATTGTAACTGCGTTTAATATCATACATAATGATAACAAACCGATAGCTGATGGGGTGTTACATGTGACTTGTAATACATGCCGTTGGGAGTGCATCATGTGATTTGCAAAGTGGACATATTACTCACAAGATGCATATTGGAGTTATGCAAGTTCAAGTCGCACATAGAGGTGTATGTGCTCTAGCCATCAGATGGACAATCGTCCAAAAGATCGTGCAGAGTGAATGTCATGTCCTCTATCAGAATTGATTTTGTGATATAGGTAATTCTAGAGAATTTGCAGTTATCATTTGATGCACATAAATGACTTTCTTTGTTCAGGATTGGTGAATTGTTAAATTTAACCATGGATAACCCGTTTTGTTTATAACTTTGTTCTATCAGGATTAGGGCCGGCAAACCCGGCTTGGCTCGGCGGGCCAAACCCATCACACTCTTCAAACGGGGTGGGGCGCTTTTTGGCGGGTTGATGGTGGGCATAGGCGGGCAAGGTGAGTCAATGTAAAATAGGCTCGGGCTGATAGACCAACACACCCAGCGAGCTAAATCGGCAGGGCGGGCCGAGTTTTTGCAACTCATTTTCAAAAACGGAGCGGGGCGACCTGACTCATTTTTTGACGGGTTGATGGTGGGGCGAGGCGGGGAGGGCCGGGCCGCCCACTTTGCCACCTCTAATTAGGATTACAAGCATTTATTACCAACATATTGATATGTTGTCAGTTCCATTATAACAAAGTTCATCCGAGCATCATTTTTTGTATATTTACAAAAGAATACTCTTAACTCCACCCACTATTTCAACACTTCCAATTGTTGATCTCAACTATTTGTTTTTACATGTGAATATGTATTTACAATATCATAATAAATTATAGGATTATATTTATCTCATTTTACATTAGATAACTAAATTTCCTACACACACAAAAGATGGGCGGGTCCCACTTCTTTTTTCTCTCTCCTCTTACCTATGGGTCCCTCTTGCAATCTTATTTCTACAACATAAGATAACTATTTTTCTACAACATAAGAAAATTATTTCCCTAAATTATATATGTCTGAATGCTTGCACAAAAGGATTTAGGTGAAGTAAATGAAAAAATGATATCATAAAAAGATTGAAAAGCAAATGATTCCTTAAGTAGTATTTTTTTTTTAAAATTAATAGGTTTCAGTCTAAATTTTCGATAGAAATATTTTCCATCAAAATTTTTTATAGACATAATTTCCGTCAAAATATTCTATCACCAATAGCAAACGAGAAAATTTATCTCTCTAATTTTTTCTCTATCTTCAACGAAAAATATTTTTTTTTCTATTTTTTACTGAAATATCTTTCAGTCAAAAATTGAGATATGAATAATTCCTCGCATACGAGGTCTTGAAACTGCCGCTCCAAATGATAAGTAGCATTCACTTTTAGCAGCCAAGGTGTTATGGATATGTATATCATAACCTAACTACCTACCTAAGAATCCACTAAGGGATAAATACTCAATTATCCTAACAATATTATACAATAAAATACTTGGGATAAAATCCTTATCTCAACAGCAAGGAAGCTGAATCCTACTGCAACTGGGAGATCTACACAAACCCTAGAGGTAAACCTTATAAATAAGGGGCTAAAGACCCCAGGTAGACACTTTTTGACCTATTTACTATTACTGCCAACACTGTGCACACACCCACGTCTTGGCTATAAGCCAATTGCTTGTGTGCAGTGATTGGGATACTAGCTATAAGCCAATTACGGTACCTACCTATAAGGTAGCTCTGAGCGCATACCATTCGGTATAGCAATACGATCTTCTAGGACCTAACATTGGCGCCGACTGTGGTGACGATAAATTTCGATTCCCATTCCACGATGACGAGCACTCGTTCGACGTCCAGCAATGTTCAACCTCAACTGCCGTCGCACCAATCTGCCTTAGGATATCTCCAATCAACCGCAACTCCAGTTTTGGTGGATGTCTAGGTCGGAGAGGTCGGCACAGAAATGCTGCCCTTCATGACCCAGGCCAACCCAGCGGTGGAGTCTGCACGCCCACCTCCGCAGAATGATCAACCCAGAGATGAGGGTCATGTGGTCAATACTGCCATGAATACAATCCTTCAAAGGATGCAAGAGATGGAGAATAGGTTCCTGTATCAAGAAAGGCTGAATGCCCAGAGGATGGAGGCACTGGAAGCCGAGCTGCAAAATTAAAACACTGAAGGCCGAGCTGGAGGAGCTGGCCAAGCTGAAACTGGAGGGCCAGAACGCCAAAATCTGGCGACTAAGAATGTCCGATATCCTCCCAGCGACAAACAACAGGAAAGCGGAGGACAGGGAAACAACCAATGAGAGAACTATATCCATGATGAAGAGGATAACGATAGTCCATTTACTGAGAGGCTCATGAACTTGGCAATTTCGTCGAGTTTCAAAAGTGCCAAAATACCCCCTATGACGGAAGTCAAGACCCAGACGCCCATCTGGAAGCATTCAAGACTGAGATGCTGTTTAACGGGATAACTTGACCTATTAAGGCCAGAATCTTTGCTACGACCTTAACAGGTCAGGCGATGGCATGGATAACTAGGCTTCCTAGGAACTCAATTGATTCATTTGAGGACTTAGCTCGGACTTTCCGTTTGAACTTCGCCACGAGTAAAGCGCACCCTATTCCGGCCTATGCTTTAGGGAGAATTTGGTAGAAGTAGAATCAATCACTACGAAAGTACCTCGATCGATTCAAGGATGCTGCCATCAAGGTTCGAAACCTAACTGAGTCAGTCCACTTGCACTTAATCATTTCGGGATTAGATGGCGACTCTCCACTCGCAAAATCCATCTATAAGAACCCGGTCAACGATCTAGAGGAATTTCAGAGAAGGTCGGACAAATACATTGACGTTGAGGATATGCATAAAGATTATGGTGAGGTCAGGGGGAGGAGCCCAAATCGTCGAAGTCCAAGAAGAAAAACAAAGATAGAGATCAGAGAGGGTCAAAGAAAGGAGCTGAATCTCATGACAAGAGGTCGGACGAACGATATTCGAGGACCAAATACGACAACTACACACCGTTAAACATGTCCAGATCTCGGATATGGAAAGAAGTGGCTTAAACCGAGATGCGTAATGTTGAAAGGCCTCGGCCCCTCAAAAGCAAGGGTGGCTTGGGCAGAAATAAGTATTGCGCTTTTCACAATCAGAATGGCCACACTACGGATGACTGATGGGATCTCAGAGATGCCATTGAGAAGCACATCAGAGAAGGAAAGCTGAAGCAGTACATCATCCGAACTCAGGGCAAGAAAAATGGCAATCGAAGGTAGAGAAGCCGAAGCAGAAGTCATAGCCCGAAGAGGGAGGAGAGGAAAGATCGTGAACAAGACTGCCCTTTTAAGGGCAAGAAGGTCGAAGACAAAGAGGAGGAGTTCCAAGAGGCTGAATTTGAGTGCAATGTGATAAGTGGAGCCGTGGGTAGGGGAGGCGA